CAAACCGGTCCTCGTTGCAGTCGGTCTATAATGAACTTGCAAAGAGACGGAGCAAGGGGGACGTTTTATGTGCCCTTTGCGCAGCTGCTTGCCTAAAGCCTTGGCCGTTTGCCATCGTCGCATCTGACATCATCCAGTTGCATATTGAAACTCAAGGTTATCCCGAAAGTGCCTTCTCATGTTGCGCTATACTCAGTGTTACTGCGAACACACTCCCACAAGTGGATAAGCGGACGTCATTATTTTTTTATATGACTTTTTTTAACCTGAAGGGTGCTACTTCAGTAAAACTTGAAGTAGTGCTACGCTAGTTTTTTGGTTTACCAATTTGTCTTGGCTAATAAGCCCGATCGCTTTATGTAAGATGCGTTAATGTCTGTTTTTCCTTATTTTTTCCCTTTAAAAGTTTTGATACTTTGCTCTCTCCCTCTCTGTCAGCGATAAGGGCACAATGTCGACAAGTCTGTTCGCACCGCCAAACGCTGAGGAACTGCATCTGGAGTATTGCCGTCGTGTTCTTCCGCATGACCAAAATACAGGTGGATTTTTCATTGCCGTTCTTGAGAAGGTTGCTGAACTGCCCTGGATGAGTTCTAAAACGCGAACTCTAAGGAAAGAGCCTGTTTGCACACCCCTTGGCGAAAACCAGAAAGTAAAGTCAACTGACGGTAAGCTCCCCTCCAAGCTTTGCAGTCTTATTGAAAGCCAAAAAAACTACGAAATTTGCAACTTCGTATTGGCAAATAATTGTTTTCAGTCATTCGTCTTCAGGCTAGTACAATGACATAAAGAATAAAACCGTCAGTTATGTACGGTGGTTATATGGTCCTCGGGGTAGTTGTTTGATTATTTTTGCATAATTTTGCAGTAGATTGCAGTAAGGCTGACCAGTCAATAATTGTTTGCGGAGATCCGGCTTCCCACTTGTAGAGCGGCGTAATCCTCGCGGATTTCCAATCTGCTGGTAGGCATCCAGTCTCGAAGAATGTTTGGAAGAGTGTAGGGAGTGGTTTTGCCAACTCACTGGCGCGCTCCTTCAAAATCTTGGCCGGTACCTCATCGAGATCCGATAAGTTAGATTCCCTTAACCCTAAGAGTTCCTTAAGTACTGGCAAATAATTGTTTTCAGTCATTCATCTTCAGGTCAGTACAATGACATGAAAAATAAAACCGTCAGTTATGTGCAGTGGTTATATGGTCCTCGACGTTCCCTCGTCTTAGGCATGCTGGCGCCAGCGTGTTAAGGCCCGCAGGTAGGAAAGGGTTGTTATCGCGGTCGTCGCAGGTTTGGCTAATCTGTGTTTGCGTGCGACGTGGTATTCACTCCTGTAGTTGGCCAAGGTAGTTAGACTGCGGCTACCAGCGCCTTTTGACAGCAGAGGGTGGGTTTTACTAAACAGATTGCCACTGCTCCGTCTGTGGCGAGCAACCGTTAGCGCAGGCTTTTAGAGTAGCGTGTCAGTGCCTGGTATATAATTTGAAAAGCCTCTCTCGCGTCAACTTGGTAGTTCGTATCGATTGAACTTGAAATCGATCGATTTTCTCCTTTCCCCAGCCAGGCTGGTTTGTGTTCGCGTACCTTCTCCAAACGTTGCGTTGTTCGGCCAATATTAAATTTGCAGCTACTTTAAAAAATTCCAGATTTAAGTGTCTGATAAGTTTGCCTTCTGTTTTGTCATTATTTTATTATCTCAGTTATATTATGTTAAAAATACGATCAGTCGAGAAATTTATGCTAAGTTAACTGTGTAAAATTTTGATAGAGTTGAAAATAATTCCCCTGATTTAACTTGCTCTTATTTTCCAGGAAATAAGGCATAGACTGCCTTTTTTACCGTTTACGAGAAAGTATGTATTTTTGATTTGTTGGCTTGACCAGTTTAAGTGCATGACTTCTAAAAAGGAACATATTGAGACAAAAGGAACGCTGTCCACCACTTACTCAACAGGCTACGCAAGCGGGTTAATAGGGTGGTTCGATTTCTATTAAGCCATATTAGGGGTCGTCACTGCGACTGTGCTGTGTTAAAACAGACCATGGTGCTCTACAAGAGGGTCTTACACACTATCACTTTTAAACTAGTTAACGCACCCACGATGGAAATCGTCGGCAACGATGCTCGAACTCTGAGCGTAGTTGACGTGCACTCCTGCCTTCGCTGGCATCACTTTTGGCTGGCATTTATCTGTAGTACTCTGTCCCGTTTATTTTTTAATGTACATTGACAGGACCCATGCCCGTTGGCACTGTAAACCAGGGCGTTATTATCGCTTCTTGGTGTTGGATAGTCCTGGAAAACGCGTTGTTTTTCTATATTGAGGAGACTGTTGGCGATCCGTGAACGTTCATCAGCAAGTGTCCCTATCGCCTGATCTAAACCGGTAAGACGACGCGCTCGTGGCCTAATGGTTAGGGCGTTAGACTCTGCTCAGAGGTCGCGAGCTCGAGCCTGAGGTGGTTCACCACTTGGTTTCGGGTACGACTGGTTGATGACGACTAATAAGTCAGAAATGGCCATTCCAGTCTCCCTGGTCTTCGCTGGCAATACTATCTGCCTAATAGGGAGGAACATGCAGACACCAGCTAAACAGTGTGTTAGTGGGTGCTGTATTTAACCCCATGCAATAG